TTTCATGCAACTCAAATGTTCCAATAATTTCTGTTACCCTAAATAGTAAATAAATGTGGAGCCACCTAACCATTTTCTTAATTCAATTTTAATTCTTACAAATACACCTCCATTTCTGGACTTCTAACCATGTGGCATTACAAAGTAACTGTACTAAAACCATATGGGGGTGACTGCAGTTTGAGATCCTGAGCAATCTTGGGAAAGATCAGAAGCTGGCTTATGTAGAGACCATGCCCCAGCTGCGGCTGGCACCACCGGCTGTTTATCACGAGAGAGCACAGAAAGCCCCCGAGCTTTTGTCTGGAGCAAACAGGAGCGGTGCGACGAAATTTGAGAAGCCAAGCAGGCAACTGAAGGATCTAAAAGTGAAAGGGCCATCCCTTCGTTTCCCATTAAAAACAAGCATATTTGGTGAGCTTCATACGGCTGGCTATTTTCTCGTGTAGCGCCTTGTTGGTTCTAAAATTTTGTCACAGATGATGATGCTGATCGGATTTCTTGTTGGTTTCCGTTGTTTGGGTGTTATTGTAGGCAAGGAAAAGATGACGAGATGATGATGACAGAGCTTTTAACAAGATCAACACGAGAGAGTTCCAGTAACAGTATATTATTTGATGAAGGGACTTGCTGAGCAAGTAAGTCCCAATTGAGTTTGATGTAATGCTGTGCAGGCCCTTCGTCTTTAGACAACGTCTTTTCTGCATCTGTTGTTGTTCAGTTTTTGCTTTTGGGTACGGGAAGAGACTTCAAAAACTTCGTCGATAGAGGCGGCTCTTGGAACAGCGTTTTTGGTGCTTGCAATCCGATGTACATATGTAATAGTGTTTACTACAGTGACATCTTGATTTAAACTAGAATTTCAGTCTTGCTGATTTGATTCAACAATTTGTGTAGTGCAAACAACTGAATCGGCTTCAGAAGTGTGCATGCGAGCGACTTTGACAGCTTTGCAGTTGACAACAATCTCCACTCCAACAATCCCTCTACCAAGCATACTTTTAGTAAGGGTTCAACCATTCTGAAATGACTGCTCTATGCTTCATATGTATGTTGGCTGTGTTTGCCACGTGTGAGCCTTGGTGAACCAAATTTGGTGATTTTCATATTCAAATTTTGAGCCCGTTTGATGAAATGCTCCAATGACATTGTCATGTATGATGTGTGTATTTGTTGAGTCTTCGACAAATTATTAGTTTTGATTGAGTACCATTGAATCCTAATGTCATATTTCTCTCTTTATTTATATGGTGGCTACCTTGTGTCTTATTTTGTGGAGGAAGAAGAATGTCATACAAAACACTAAGAGGGAGGAGAGTTCCAATGTCCCTCCTCCAGAGAGAGGTACCTCGGCTCCCACATGCCAGTTGAAGAGAATGGGCCGAAAAATCAGGCATCTTACCAAATCAACCTCAGGTGCAAGAAAAAGTAGTTCCTCCAGTGCCAAGCAAAGGGTTAAAATCTCATACAACCTTTGCAAATGACTTGCAAACGACGGGGGTACAAAGGCAACAATCCCTCTGCCTACAAGTTTGCACAAAGTTGGCACGAGAAGATGAGGATGGCCAAATATTATCTAGCTCGAGCAACACGGAAGATGAAGAAATGAGCTGATAAGAAGAGGCGTCACTTGGAGTTTGATGAGGGAGACTTGGTGATGGTGAAGTTCTTCCCTCATCGATTCAAGCATCTCAAGAATATGCACAAGGGGCTGTTGTGGCGTTATGAGGAGCCATATCCCATTTTGAAAAGAATTGGCACGATGGCTAACAAAGTAGAGTTGCCATAACATTTGGCAATTCACCCAGTCTTTCCTGTGAGTCAATTGAAGCCATATCATGAAGACAAGAAAGATGAGGCGAGAAAGGAGTTAGTGAGAGCACCAACTCTCATCACTACAAGTCCGCAACACATGAGCATGAAGTGGAGAAGATCATCGCTCATCGTGTTGTGCCTAGGCGTGGCATTCACCCAGATTATGCGGAGTACCTTATCAAGTGAAGGGGCATTTGGAGAGTGACATCGTTTGGGAGAAGGAGCTTTCATTGTGGCGACACAAAGACTTGATCAAGGCATGTCATGTGGAGACCGCGACGAAGGAGTCGCGAGATTGAGTGGGGGAGAATGTCACGAGGAACATTCTAGAAGACCATAGAAGGGTGTAGGATGTAGGTAAGTCACAGCCATTTTAGATTCATACATCAATGTACATCCATCCATATTTATTATCAATCATGTACGTGCATGATTCATGTAATGGGGGGGGGGGGGACTTTGTAGGTTCATCCATTAATGAGGGGGCTACATATATTGTACTTGGTGTAGAGGATTCCTAAATAAACAATCCTTTCCTTCACTTTTCATCATTTAGAAATATCGAGAGTAATTCATCTCTAGAGCTTTCTCCTATTTTGTGGGTTTCAGTAAATTCGAGTTAGGATGACTTAGTGCTCTAACGAGATTTGAGTATTAAGTGCTGCACGCCGAGAGTTAGTCCACGGCAAAGTGGTATCAAAGCCTTTGCTTGTGACTCATCAAGTGAGAAGAAATCTCGACAAGATGGCTAGATCCGAGTCCGAGGTTCTCAATGAAGAGCAACGTGGACACGACATCAAGAAGGACACAAAAAGCCTAAGAGAGCAAGTCTACTCGTGAGCCCTTGATTGCTCTCGAGGAGAGGCTCTTGAAGGCGGAGACGAAGGTTGCTGATCACATCATGTTGTTTGAACTACGGGGTTGGAGGTTAGGTTAGAAGCTTTTTGAAATGAGCTTCTAATCATCATCACCAAAGCCATTAACACTTTGTAGGAGACAGTTCGAGCAGAGATGAAAATCGTGAAGGAAGGGGCAGTGATGGCGATGAACTCCAACACCCTGTGACTCAAGAAGGGATGTGAGTTATGCACAATGAATTTTTTGTGCAAAGAAGGGCCAAGAAGAGTCATATCTGCCATGCAAGTGGTGAAGGGATTCAAGAAGATGGAACCCACGTTCCTTGCTACCTTGCAGATGAAGGACGAAAGTGGATCAGTGGCAGCACCACCTCTCATAGATGGTGTGTTGGAGGAGTTTGTGGACATGATGCCAAAGGAGTTGCCAAAGAAGCTCCCTACAAGGAGAGAGGTGGATCACAAGATCGAGTTGGAGCTTGGGAAAACACCACCAGCAAGGCACCTTATCGCATGGCCCCTCCCGAGTTGGAGGAATTGAGGAAACAATTGAATGAGTTGTTGGATGTTGGCTTCATCCAACCATCGAACTCCCCCTATGGAGCACTGATGCTATCCAAAAGAAGAAGGATGTGTCGTTGCGCATATGCATCAACTATCAAGCTATCAACAAACTCACAGTGAAGAACAAGTGGCCAATTCTCAACATTGCCGACTCGTTTGACCAACTTGGAGAAGCAAGGCGGTTCACCAAGCATGATCTTCGCTCGGGGTACAATCACGTGAGGATAGCCAAGGGGGATGATGTGAAGACTGCTTGTGTGATGAGGTATGACTCATATGAGTTCCTAGTTATACCTTTTTGGCTTAACCAATGCTCTTGCTACCTTTTGCACTTTAATGAGGAGAACACCTTGGAATTTTTTAGTACCATCCGTTGATCATCCACGAGTCGAACTCGACTTTCCCAGCAACATCCAATTTTACATCGAGGGGGAGTGCAAACAAAGATGACCTTGAGAGTTCACATGAGCACTCGACATCTACCCATGTGGACTCACTGACTTTCTTAGAGCTCACCCAAGAGTACATCTTCCAGATCAAGTTGTGGAACTTCTATGACAATAACCTCAAGAATATCTATGCTCGTAAATTTACCCCCAAGATATCCAAGGGGAGCGAGGTACACTCCGAGTGGAGTATTATTCATCACGTCATCTCCCACTCCATTGGCATTAGATATGAGAGCAATGAAAACTTCTCAAAATGAGACAATGGACTCAATTGCTCCATGGTGGGGCACTTCAATGCATACCTCAGATTGGCAGTCCTCACACTCATTCCAAGTACATCATCGACAATATGATTAAGGCTCTCCATGGGAAGTAAACATAGCTCAACTTTGTCGATACTTTGGTATTGACCCTCAGGTCAAGCTTCATAAACCTCCTTCATTACCGACGCCATCTGGCTCATCATTGGATCCTTACTCGAGGACTCACATTGCCGCTCTTAAGGAGGAGTTATCACATCATCAACAACCGTCTTAACCAAGAGGCAGAAGCATAGAGGCATATGGGAGCTTACTCTCACCTCATGACGGTGTCGAATCCTCCTCACAACCCTTTCTAAATTCTTGGAGAGGAGTAGCCGAGTTCTGACCATTTCGAGCATGAGTCATCGAAGGAGTGGAGACCAAGGTTCCAAGTGCCATCTTTCTTCCCTTCTTAACTTTAAAAAAATGTATTAATTGTTATTTCCTTTCGTACTTCGTACTTGTAATAATTCGTAGTTTTCTTTTCCTATCGTATTTAGTTATGTTATCCGAGTAACTTTTTATTGTGTGTGAATATCTTTGTTTGATTTTGAGAAGTTTTCAAGACCTAAACTTGCCTACCCCACCCACCCACCCGAGCATCAATTGATGGTAACCTCGTTCATCTTTACCTCACCTTTACATTAGGGACAATGTGACTTTACCTGCATGGGGATGAATGTGTGGTTGTGGTTGCCAATTTCGTTTTATGCTCCTATGTATTTAAATGTGTGAACGACGATAAATGATGTATTCAATCATTTTATGGCCCTCTATTAGTTACCTACATTAGGGCTTATGTTTGCATGACCATGGAGTCATAAGCCCTTCAATGATTACTTGCAAGATAGATGATAATGAATGGAGTTCTAAGGTTTGTGTCAATCACATTTCAATCTATTGACAGTTGAATCCGACCTTAACCAACATATTTTCACTAGAGGTCCTCCGTTTAGGTAGTTGTTTCTTTCCTAATGTAGTTAGCATAGTGAATTCATACAACGATGAGATGATGATTCAGTATAGAGAAGGGATGATGGTTATATTTAAGCACATAACAAAAAGCATAGTGTTCTTCACATTTCTCGACCCTAAACATTGCTTAGTTGCAGCACTCTACTCTACTATGTCGTACCATATACCTATGCACTCTATACTTATGTACTTATATATACCCCGACGGCCGACAGCCTACACAAAAAAGCGGGCTATGGATCTTCGTATACTCTTTTGCCTACGAATCCACTTCTGACAAACGCGAGTGGACGAAAGCTAGCATCTTTCAACGAAGAAAAGGCAGGTCGGAGATGAAGAATGCGAATACCAGCAGAGCCACCAGTATGTTGGCGATATATACAGTTGGTGGACTTAGCACCTGACTTGCTGGAATCTCCACCATTTGTATGATTGAAACAGGTCTCTTGCACACTTCAGCAGCTGAAGTTGCCGGGCTCAACTTCAGTCCTGAATGCTGTGCCATCGCAAAGCAGACGGACTTTGTGGATCTTGTGGTTTCTGGAAGTCGTCTTCCCTTCCCAGCTTCTGCAGCTCTAGTCAATCGCCCAGTTGTCTCCTCAACCTGCTAACACGAAACATATATATCACAAACGATTAGAGTAGCACATTCTTCTATCAACTGCAGTTCTTTCCTACTGTTTTCAGAATTGAAAACAACACTACTTCGCAAATCAGAGTGCATTACTTTTCTTGCTGCCTTTATGTAACTTGTATTTGTGGGGGGCATGAGAGTTGAAGATCGTGTATAAGCAGCTCCTGCACCCTCCCACGGAACCATAGTGGAAGAAGCTTCAACTTCAGAGAGAACTTCGCAAATCTCAGGAAATACTGTGTTAATCACGTTAACCTGTTCAAGAGAGATGAAGTAAACACTTCTATTATCTCTCAAGATCTTCAAAAGCACAAAGTAGACACTACAATTCCCAATACTACTCAAGAATGGAATATGGCTCTGGCAGGTGATTTTGAGGTTCTACGAAAAGCCTACTCAATGAATGTAAAATCAGTACCTGTGCAATGCCATCTTCCGGATGATACGTGCTCAGTGACTTCTCAGGTGTATGGTCATTAGGGAGAGCATGCATAGTGGAGCTATCATCCGGGAAAACAAGATAACTGTCTGGATCCACTTCCTCATCAGACTCAAATCTAAAGGTCGACCCGTTATTAGCTTTTTCCGTGAAGTCAATGTTCTCTAAGAAATCATCGATGGATATACCTTCCTCAAAGCATACTGGTGATTGCATTGCAGGAGCTGATTCTTGCTGCCAGTCAAAAAAAATTCAAAGAGAATATGAGGGAATGGCTTTCCACTTTCCACACATGCACAACTCACATGAAAGAAGCAAAAGGAGAACTCTCATTCATTTATGGCAATATGGCATTCTCTCAACTCACCACTGGGATTGCAGGACCATAATTTTCCACATCAGAAACAGGTGTAGCATGACTAAGTTCACCATTAATGCTAACTTTACCCTTGGTCCAATCATCCCCTTTGTGCTTCAGTTTGCAGATAACATACTCCCTCTATCCCAAAATTAACAAACAAACAAATTAGACAAACAATGGCAGGACACTTGTTTTGTTCCATAAGCTGAATCATTCCAAAACACTCGATCAAGCATTAGTAGTGGTGGTGGTGATAATAAGAGAAACGGAAGCCTTAAACTACAGCATGCAAACAAACCAACCTGATCAGGAAGGCGTTCTGTGGCATTGTACTCGTGGATGACCCAGTCGGTACTAATGGGTTTAGCATCATCGCCGCGGGCTTTGTAGAAGAAAACCAAAGTCTTCTTCACCCCAATTTTGTCGCCAGAATCTCTGGCCAAGATGAAACGGGGCTTTCCGGTGATTTTCCAGAAACCACTCTCAGTCACCCTGCTGGCCCTTCTACTGTTCTTGTACTTGTAATCGGGACGGCAGAAGAAATACCACACTTGGTCCTCCGACGAACCATTCAGCGAATGATCTAGCACACAGAACAAACAAAGTAAGCCAAAACGTCGGGAATCGTCAAATGCTCAAAGCGAAATTCGGCAATCGGAACAAAACCCAGAAGGGAAAAGTCGAGAAGCTTTCTCCCCACTGACTTACAGGGTAAGTCCGATGGTTCCAAGCGGTAGACATCAACTTCGCCCATGACTTGATCGACTAGGGCATCGTGGCCGTTCATCTTAAGCTTCAGGTAATGGGCGATGAGCTCTTCGTCGGTCGGGTGGAAACGAAAGCCCACAGCCGCCATTGATCACTACCGTCGAGAGAGAGCGAGAGAGCAGCAGGAAGGGCACCGGCAGATCGGAAATTCAACAGTTCTTCGTCTCGATTTCGAGACAGTTAACCGGCTCAACTTGGATTCCAAAAAACAGGGGAAGGAGAGTAGTTAAATTCCAGAGAAAAAGACGAAGAAGAAGGTTAAGAGCTAGTGGGCTGCTTCCATTAAAATATTGCGAAAGGCCGACTAGATGTCCCACTGCCGTCGCGGTAATTCCTGCCCGGGGAGACGACCACCGGCGGATTATTAGCGCAATGGAAGAAGCGGCGTTGACTCTCGCCGTGACCTCAATTCAAAGGCACTCCACTCCTTTCATGGAAAAGTATACGCGCTTAGGTCTTTGTCCTATTATATATCGGAGGTTTGCTGTCTCTTAGTGCGGGAGGTTCCCTTTATTTCAGCAAAAGTGTCCTTTTGGCCAAAAGTAAATTCGACAATCGACACTTGAAGTTTGCTAAATGATCGTCACAAGTATAGGTGTCAAACAAATGTTCTTGGCCACTAGATTTTTTTACAAGGTGATGTTCTTATATTGCAATATATGAAAATCACGATTACAAGAAGTCAAGAAGTAGACTACATTACGTTGGAACCTAAGCAAAAGAAACTTCAATGATTGGCGAAACAATCCATTGCCATAAGAACAACCACAAGAACAACCTTGGATACATGGAACAGAATCAACGTCAGACAATTATTACAGGTGCCAAAGAAGTGAAATCAGAATTCTCACGCTTCCACAACCAGCAGATCAACAACAAAGCAGGGTTTCAACTCTCTCGAACATAGACAAGACCATGGAGATCGGATGTACAATGCCATAAGCAGCCTCCTCGGATCGTTTGATGACGACTCATCATAGTGAATCACAAGGTTGTTGTTGCATGGCATTGGCAGTGTGTAGGGGCTGAAACCGGGATGCTCATAGTTGAAAGAGGTCGAGGAAGCTGAAGGCAAGATGGAGACACGGAGAGACGAAGAACACCAGACAAGTCTCAACCGAAACGCAAAACAACCGCTAATGAGAAAATGAAAATGACACCAAAACCCAGAACAACCAAAAGAAGAAGAGGTAGAGATGCTCACCAACAGTCGATGGAAGGGGGAATCGATGAATGAGTTCTTCCGAGAAGAAGAATCCACCAACAGGGAGGACCCACTCAAGCACGAGATCCCTATCAGAGACTTTCCAAGTTGCAAAATCTGAATCCAGCTTCTTGGGTGATTGGGCCGCTGGATTAGGGTTACTAGAGTGGGCTTGTCCATGAGTTTGGACCGGGATCGGGCTTTTCGGGTTTGGGTTGTGTTTGTCCACTTTTAGTTTACTCTTGTTCAGTTGACTATTTTCCTTCATTTCAATGTTATTTTAACTTTGTATACCAGGCAAAGAAACAAAACAAAGACTAGTGATGAGTATGACTCTCATTACTTAACTTCAGTGACAGTATTATACAATAATCTCTGATTTCAAGCAACCAGGCAAGATGTTTTACACACTGACAAAATACAATACACAAATAGTAACACTGCTGGTATTCCAGCAGAGTACAAACATTACAGGACTCCTAAGGTTGGCTAACTTTGAAGATTTGACCAGCATGAGCTTGGTTGAATATCATCCATATCCAGGGTAAGGATCATAACTAGAAGAAGAGGTATCCCCTGTGTTATACATCCATGGCTGCATTGCAGAGTTAAGGTTGTAACTGCTTTCATCATACCCTGTAAAGGAATCCAGATATGCTTGTATCTGAGAGTCTTCCTGCTGAAACAAAATGGAAAGACAGAGTTCTTTACCAAACAACTAAAAGATCAAAACAACTTAAGCATAATCAATTAAGTTCTACAACACTCACTCTGGGTTCATTGTTCTGAAAGTTGACAGCAGCTGAGATGGGAGCATAATTCTCATATGGACTTGGATTGTCATAATTACAGGACATCCTTGAACTTGCTTCACCTCCTCCTTCCAGACTTGCTTGCATTTCATCACCACCATCATCATCACTGTTTTCCATTAGCTTGTACAGAAGATAATCACGCTACACACAGAAAATAAGTCGCACTAAAGCAAATTAGCCAATTCAGGCAAAAATATGTCATGTTTGAAAGAAAGCACATATGAATTTGTCGAGACACTCTCAAAACAGGTTACCTGGTTGGGGAAGTTGAAGAAGGACTTGTACTCGTGCATGATCCAATGTGTCTTGACCCCTTTCGGGACTCGACCTTTATAGAAAACCAAAGTCCTTTTCGTACCAATCTCCTCGCCGGTGCTTTCAGCCCGAACCATCCTTTCCTTGCCGGTGGGCTTCCAGTAACCAGCCTTGGTAGTCCGGTTAGCTCGCTTGCTGTTGGCGTACTTGTAATCCGGAGCAGCCAAGAAGTACCAAACCGACTCGTCCGTGTCCACCTCTGTACACGCTTGCCCTACAACCACATCATCAGAATAAGTGACTCTCAATCGACAGCAGATAATCCGCCGTCAAGTAAATAGCAACAACGTATACTAACTAGCATTTGGTGGTTGATAAGATTGTTGGGTGATTAATTTTACCTGGTAGCTCCCAAGGTTCGAACTTGCTGACATTGACTTCAGCAATGCGGCGAACTTCGTGATCGCGGCCCTGCATCTTCAGCTTCAGATAGTGATTCACCAGCTGTTCTTCGGATGGGTGGAACCTGTATCCAACCATCTCCTCCTCCTCGTCACCACCATAATACCCTGCACTACTCCACATTTGCCTTCAACTTTTGCTCTGTTTTTCGCTCTGTTTTTTGTCTTTCTTGTTCGTCTTCCCACAAGTGATTTGAGTTGAGAGAAGTGGTGGTGAAAATGGAGTGTACTTATAGTAGGCATCTTCTTCCCACCCCATCCTGAGTAAGTCCCTTCACCGAGAAGTTTAGCTTTTCAGAGACTGAAATTTTAGTTAAAAATGGGAAACTTTTGGGAGAATCTGATTAGTGAGACTGAGAAGAAGGGGGGGAAGCGCGTTCAGGTTTACTGTACAGTGAAGAAGGAGAAGGAGAAGGAGAGAGGAAGACGATGACCAAATGTGATTTGTGGAATTGACTGTGGTCTCCAAAAAGGTGTATTCCCCTTCCATGTATAAGCTTCCTCAACAAGGGGATCTGTGGGCTCCATGTTTCCTTAACTCAGCTATGCCTTTTCAGTACTCAGAACATTCCAGAACATTAATTGCTACATGGGGACTAGCTCGCATCCAATATCTTTGTTTCATTTGACACTCGAAAATCCAAAACTGAAGCTGAACTAGAGGTTTTCGAGGCTTAAAATAGGGTGCATTAACCAGGCGTAATTAAATTTCGGCTGTTTAGTTTTAAGTTGAGTCATAAGGGTTGGGATTTAAAAAGTGAGAATTAATGGTTTCGTACTTTTCTAGTTTTCTTAATTGGTTTTTTATTTTCTTCGTTTTAAATTGGTTTTAAAAAAAAAAAAAAAGTTCACAGATTGAAAGAGTGTTGTGATCTACAAAATGAGATCCATTTTCAATATATTTCGACAAAAAAAAATTCATATCACTCGTTACCACATGGTACCATCTTCATTTTTAACTCGAATTTTGAATTTTTTTTGCAGAGAGAGAATGAGTTCATTGTGATCTATTCGATCTATAAATTTCAGGAAAATAATATATAGGATCAAAATGTAACACTCCATACCACCCTAATTTACAGGGTGGTAGCTGGTGATAAACAACGATGAATGTGGTAAATGACAGTTTGTATATTCCTACTATCGTGTATTCAATCACTATACACTCTGGTATGTCCATACCACCATGATACACTTCCATACCAAGCATGATCTTATGTAGTACCAAACATTACAAGCTTGGTATAGTATGGTAATAAATTGGCATCCAAAGATAAATTGACCCAAATCGGTGATTAATGGACTTATCATCCATGGAGAATAGGATCAATAGACTTCATTATCGGTGGAGAATAACCTCTGCATGATTCCCTGATTTGTAGCCTCCAGAATCGAAAGAAAATGGCATTTCGGAAAAATCACCTGAAATCTGTGATGGTACCCCTTTGGAATCTGCCAAAAATTGACCCGGAATAAATCCGCTCAAATCGGTGCTTAATGGACTCACACATCGTTGAATAATAGTCTCAGGCCGAATCCGTGATATGTAGCCTTCAATATCCAAAGAAAATGGCCATTCGTCGCAAAAAAATTACGAAAAATGCCAACCGAAAAAAATTTGGCCCAAATCGGTGCTTAATGGACTTATCATTCGTGGAGAATAGGATCAATAACTTCATTATCGGTGGAGAATAGCCTCAGCCAGATTCCGTTATATGTAGCCTCCATAATCAAAAGAAAATGGCATCTCGAAAAAATAGCCTGAAATCTGTGATGGTACCCATTTGGAATCTGCCCAAAATTGACCCGGAATAAATCAGTCCAAATTGGTGCTTAATGGACTCAATCAGCGTTGAAGAATAGCATCAGGCCGAATCCGTGATCTGTAGCCTTCAATATCCAAAGAAAATGGCCTTCCGTCGCACAAAAAATTACAAAATTGCCATCCGAAAATAAATTGGGCCAAATCGGTGCTTAATGGACTTATCATATGTGGAGAATAGGATCAATAGACATCATTATCGGTGGAGAATAGCCTCGGCCTGATTCGGTGATCTGTAGCCTCCAAAATCGAAAGAAAATGGCATTTCGAAAAATGGCCCGAAATCTGTGATGGTACCCATTTGGAATCTGCCAAAAAATTGACCCGGAATAAATCCGCCCAAATTGGTGCTTAATGGACTCAAACATCGTTGAAGAATAGCCTCAGGCTGAATCCGTGATCTGTAGCCTTCAATATCAAAAGAAAATGGCTTTTCGTCGCACAAAAAATTACGAAAATGCCATCCGAAAATAAATTGGTCCAAATCGATGCTTAATGGACTTATCATCCGTGGAGAATAGGATCAATAACTTCATTATCGGTGGAGAATAGTCTCAGCCTGATTCCGTGATGTGTAGCCTCCAGAATCGAAAGAAATTGGCATATCGGAAAAATTGCCCGAAATCTGTGGTGGTACCCCCTTTGGAATTAGCAAAAAATTGACCTGGAATAAATCCGCCCAAATTGGTGCTTAATGGACTCACTCATCGTTGAAGAATAGTTCCAGGCCGAATCCGTGATCTGTAGCCTTCAATATCCAAAAAAAATGACCATTCGTCGTAAAAAAATTTACGAAAAATGCCATCAGAAAAAATTGGCCCAAATAGGTGCTTAATGGACTTATCATCAGTGGAGAATAGGATCAATAAATTCATTAATGGTGGAGAATAATAACAGCCAGATTCCGTGATCTGTAGCCTCCAGAATCAAAAGAAAATGGCATCCCGAAAAAATTGCCTGAAATCTGTGATGGTACCCCTTTGGAATCTGCCCAAAATTGACCCGGAATAAATCCGCCCAAATTGGTGCTTAATGAACTAATCATCGTTGAAAAATAGCCTCAGGCCGAATTCGTGATCTGTAGCCTTCAATATCCAACGAAAATGGCCTTTCGTCGCGCAAAAAATTACGAAAATGCTATCCGAAAATAAATTGGACCAAATCGGTGCTTAATCGACTTATCATCTGTGGAGAATAGGATGAATTGACTTCATTAAAGGTGGAGGATAGCCTCGGCTTGATTTAGTGATCTGTAGCCTCCAGAATCGAAAGAAAATGGCATTTCGGAAAAATCGCCCGAAATATGTGATGGTACCCCTTTGGAATCTGCCAAAAATTGACTCGGAAGAAATCCGCCCAAATTGGTGCTTAATGGACTCAATCATCATTGAAGAATTGCCTCGGTCCAAATCCGTGATCTGTAGCCTTCAATATCCAAAGAAATTGGCCTTTCGTCGCCCAAAAAATTACGAAAATGCCATTCGAAAATAAATTGGCCCAAATCGGTGCTTAATGTACTTATCATCTATGGAGAATAGGATCAATAGCCTTCATTATCGGTGGAGGATAGCATCGGCCTGATTCGGTGATCTGTAGCCTCCAGAATCGAAAGAAAATGACATTTCGGAAAAATCTCCCGAAATCTGTGATTACCCCTTTGGAATCTGCCAAAAATTAACCCAGAATAAATCCGCCCAAATCGGTGCTTAATGGACTCAGTCATCATTGAAGAATAGCCTCAGGCCGAATCCGTGATCTGTAGGCTTCAATATTCAAAGAAAATGGCATTTCTTCGTCCGAAAAATTACGAAAATGCCATTCAAAAATAAATTGGCCCAAATCGGTGTTTAATGGACTTATCATTCGTGGAGAATAGGATCAATAGACTTCATTATCGGTGGAGAATATCCTCGGTCTGATTCCATGATCTGTAGCCTCCAGAATTGAACGAAAATGACATTTCGGAAAAATCGCCCGAAATCTGTGATGGTACCCCTTTTGAATCTGCCAAAAACTGACCTGGAATAAATCCCCTCAAATCGGTGCTTAATGGACTCAAACATCGTTGAAGAATAGCCTCTTGCCGAATCCGTGATCTGTAGTAGCCTTCAATATTTAAAGAAAATGACCTTTCGTCTCACAAAAAATTACGAAAAATGTCATCCGAAAATAAATTTGCCCAAATCGGTGATTAAAGGACTTATCATCCGTGGAGAATAGGATCAATAACTTCATTATCGGTGGAGAATAGCCTCAGCCTGATTTCGTGATATGTAGCCTCCAGAATCAAAAGACAATGGCATCTCGGAAAAATTTCCTAAAATCTGTGATGGTACCCATTTGGAATCAACCAAAAATTGATCCGGAATAAATATGCCCAAATTGGTGCTTAATGGACTCAATCATCGTTGAAGAATAGCCTCCAGCTGAATCCGTGTTCTATAGCCTTCAATATCCAACGAAAATGGCCATTCGTCACCCAAAAAATTCTGAAAATGCCATCCGAAAATAAATTGGACCAAATCGGTGCTTCATGGACTTATCATCTGTGGAGAATAGGATCAATAGACTTCATTATCGGCGGAGGATAGCCTCGGCATAATTTAGTGATCTGTAGCCTCCAGAATAAAAAAATGACATTTCGGAAAAATCGAACGAAATCTCTGAAAGTACCCCTTTGGAATCTGCCAAAAATTGACCCGGAATAAATCCTCCAAAATCAGTGCTTAATGGACTCAAACATCATTGAAGAATAGCCACAGGCTGAATCCGTGATCTGTAGCCTCCAGAATCGAAAGAAAATAACATTTCGGAAAAATCGCTCGAAATCTGTGATGGTACCCCTTTGGAATCTGCCAAACATTGACACATAATATTTCCTCCCAAATTGGTGCTTAATGAGCTCAATCATCGTTGAAGAATAGCCTCAGGCCGAATCCCCTGATCTATAGCCTTCAATATCCAACGAAAATGGCCTTTCGTCGCCCAAAAAATTATGAAAATGCCATCCGAAAATAAATTGACCCAAATCGGTGCTTAATGGACTTATCATATGTGGAGACTAGGATAAATAGACTTCATTATCGGTGGAGAATAGCCTCGGCCTGATTCGGTGATCTGTAGCCTGCCGAATCAAAAGAAAATGGCATTTCGAAAAAATTGACTGAAATCAGTGATGGTACCCCTTTGGAATTTGCCAAAAATGATCAGGAATAAATCCCCCCAAATTGGTGCTTAATGAACTCAAACATCGTTGAAGAATAGCCACAGGCCGAATCCGTGATCTGTTCCCTTCAATAATCAAAGAAAATGGCCTTTCTTTGCCCGGAAATTACAAAAATGGCATTCGAAAATAAATTGGCCC